TAATTCAGACTGATTCAAGAGCAAAGACTTATGTTAACCAATTTTCTATTCTACATGTTATGCAGATGAGGCTTTAGAACAATTAACATCAGTAATGTCTGAGCATGAATGCTAGATAGTAGGTGGAAAGAATATATTTAAGTCCCAGAATACATTTAAGTTGGAAGCAGACACATGAGGAATCTATATGTTTCTTAATGAAAGAGATATGCTTTGGGACAAAGATCAGTCTGAAAAGGATATGTACTAGCACATGTTATAATGACCCATGTGCATTATAAAGGCATAGTTTATTAGATACCTGTCCTCAATAACCAGAATGTACTTCTGAATGTTGTCTGATACATTCTGGTTATTGAGGCCTGGTATCTAATAAGCTATGCCTCTATAATGAACATTGGTCAGTGTGGATAGACTATTCTTTTTCTTAAAGTTGCCTTTATAAAGAAAATGCTTAAATTCTGTGAAGTGAGAGAATATGGTCTTAAAAGTCAAGCCTCAATTCCACCTGAAGATGGCCAAATAGGAACAGCTCTGGAGTGCAATTCCCAGCAAGAACGCAGAAGGTGAGTGATAACCACATTTCCAAATGAATTTTTACTGCCCACAGACCAGGAGATTCCTGGGCAGAAAAGTGCCACGAGTCTCCAGCACAGCTGTTTCAGTCGGCGCAGCAGGTCTCCACACAAAAACTCACACAAATCTGGGCGCCATTTCAATTGGCCACTGGAACGCTTGGGAGACAGAGTTGCCCATTCAACTGAACAAAAAGGGGCTGAAACAGGGAGCCAGGTGATCTGGCTTGGCTGGTCCCACCCCCACAAAGACCAGCAATCTGAAATGCTCTGGATTGAGTTTCACAGCAAGCACAGCTGGACCTGGAATGGCCCAGCTCTGTGGGGAGAAGTATGTCCACCATTACCAAGTCAGTCTGCCATTACCGAGGCAATACACCATTACCAAGGCAGTCTGCCATTACAGAGACAGGCCACCATTACTGAGGCAGGCCACCATTACGGAGGCAGTTCTAACTATACCTCTATACACAAAACCACAAGGAAGTTCACACAGCAGCTGGGCAGAGCCCACAGCAACTCAGCAACACCTCTGCTGGCAGACTGTGACTAGGCTACCTCCTTGCTGGGCAGGGCATCTCTGAAACAAAGGCAGCAGCACATCAGGAACTTATAAACAAAGCCCCACCTTCCCAGGACAGAGCACCTGGGAAATAAGGCGGTTATGAGTTCCGCTACAGCAGACTTAAATGCATCTGCCCAGCAGCTCTGAACGGAACAACAGAGCTCACAGCTCAGCACTTGAGCTCCTGTAATGGAGAGACTGTTGCCTCAAGCAGCCCCCTGACTCCCGTATATCCAAAGAGATACCTCATAAAGGAGAGCTCAGGCTGACATCTGGTGGGTATCTTTCTGGGACAAAGATAACAGAAGAAGAAACTGGCAGCAACCCTTACTGTTCTGCAGCCACCGCAGGTGATCCCCAGGCAAGCAGGGTCTGGAGTGGACCTCCAGCAGTCCTGCAGCAGAGGGGCCTAACTGTTAGAAGAAAAACTAAGAAACAGAAAGAAATAGCTTCAACATCAACAAAAAGGACGTCCACTGAGAGACCCCATCCGAAAGTCACCAACTACAAAGACCACAGGTAGATAAAGCCACTAAGATGGGAAGAAACCAGTGCAAAAAGGATGAAAACACCCCAAACCAGAATGCCTCTCCTCCTCCAAGGGATCACAACTCCTCACCAGCAAGGGAACAAGACTGGATAGAAAATGAGTCTGATGAATTGACAGAAACAGGCATCAGAGTGGGTAATAACCAACTTCTCAGAGCTAATAGAACATGTTCTAACCCAATGCAAAGAAACCAAGAACTGTGAAAAAAGGTTTGACAAATGCTAATGAGAATAAACAGCTTACAAAAGAATATAAATGAATTGATGGAGCTGAAAAACACATCACGAGAACTTCACAAAGCATACACAAGTTTCAATAGCCGAATTGACCAAGCAGAAGAAAGGATATCTTTCGATCAAGCAGAAGAAGATCAACTCAATGAAATAAAACAAGAAGGCAAGATTTGAGAAAAAAAGAGTGAAAAGAAATGAACAAAGCCTCCAAGAAGTAGGGGATTATGTGAAAAGACCTAATCTACATTTGATAGGTGTATCTGAATGTGACAGAGAGAATGAATCCAAGCTTGAACACACTCTTCAGGATATTATCCAGAACTTCCCTAACCTAGCAAGACAGGCCAGCATTCAAGTCCAGGAAATACAGAGAACACCACGAAGACAGTCAAGAAGAGCAGCCCCAAGGCATATATATCATCAGATTAACCAGGGTTGAAATGAAGGAAAAATTGCTAAGGGCAGCAAGAGAGAAAGGTCAGGTTACCCACAAAGGGAAGCCCATCAGACTCACAACGGATCTCTCAGCAGAAACCCTACAAGCCAGAAGAGAGTTGCTATAGGCTCACATAGTTCTACTGTTGTTTTCCTAACCATCTTCAAGGTTTTGAGAAGGCCTAACATTTCAAGGGAGGTTGAATATAGCAGGTCTACTTCTGGAGGCAGATTTTACAGACTACCTAGATTAGATTGTCTTCGGAGGAGTGAAATCGAAAGGAGTCGCCAAGTGTAAAGAGGAAGTATGTTCCATGAATGGTCAAAGAGGAACTGAATGTGCAGATCAGCCAAAGGAACATGTGGGAAGGAAACACACTTGCTGATAAACAAGAGTACAGTCGGTCCCAGGCATGGAAATGACATTTTGTCAGAATCAAGAAACAAGTTACAAAATCTCAAATGATGACTGAGGCTCAAAGATCAATTGAGAATTGATTACACAGGAAGTATTCTCTGAATGTCCTCTTATCTATGTAAAAATGATAACCCCTCTTCCAATTTGACCTAAATGGCAGGTCCATGGAAACCAGCCTTATATGATGTGGTTTCATACAGCACCAAATATTATAATGAGCAGCTCCACACCGTACAACATTCAAAGAAAGACCTATGTGATCTCTACCAGTAAAGGAAGTAGGGAATAGACCATGAACAAGAGTGTGGGTCATATTCAACCAATAGTGGATAGACCAGACTGCAACACACACACACACACACACACACACACACACATACACACACACCCTGTATGAGGAAATAGTGGCAGATAAGATTGGAAAGTTAGCAAATTAAGTCATGGGACTTATTAAAAGCAATGCTATGTTTTTCCATATAAACTGTACCCCTGGATAACCAAAAAGAACATGAGGTGAAAATCCTCTTAAAATTAGTGGTCCAACTAATAAATGAAGAATTAATGATATAATTAATATATCATTTTTCAATTCCCAGTGAAGTGGTGGATCAATGTGAACATCAATAGCTGCTATTATCACAAAGAGAAGCACTAACTAGATATGATGTGTCTTCTGATAAAAGAACATACCACTATCTGCAAAGAAGACTTGACAAAATAAATCAAATCCAAATCTATTCATTAATTCAACACCAATCTATATGGAATGTAGACAACAGAAGGGCAAAAGAAAGGCAGCACAAAAATACAATCACCAAAATCTAGAGTGTATAATTTATAAAACAAATTATGTGGTTTCTTCAACAAGACATTGAAAGGGAAAAGAGAAGATATAAAGTCCATAGATTAGAAGGCACACAAACCAATCACAAGGTGTAGCCATTATTTAAATCTTGATTCAAATAAACAAACTGAAATATATAAATGACACTTATTAAATAAAAATCTGGCCACTGACTGGATATTTGACCAGAATTATTGCTCAATTTTCTTTTGGATGTGACAATAGTAATGTGCTTATGTGTTTTATATTCTAGGGATACATACTGAAATATTTACAGATGAAATAATGCAATGCCAATGATTTTCTTGAAATTAATGTGGGTGTGGAAAGTAGGTAGAGACAGACATTAAACAACATGGATCATGAGCTGATAATTGTTGAAGCTGAGTGACAGGTACATAAAGGTTTATTATAATATTCTGCCTTCCTTTGCATATGTTTAATTTTCCATAATAATTTTTAATGCACTAAAGGATTTAAACTTTATCTTCCCATCAAATGGAAGTCTTTTGACATTTTATTTTGCAAGTGGCCATATGACTAAAAGAGAAATAAGAAAGATAAATTCAGCAATGATTTGCACCTTAACTGGCAGTTGGGTAAGACTAAAGACCAGGAGATTAGTTACGAGTTTCTTACAGTATCTTGATCTACATTGACAAAAGTCTCATTGAGGTAACATTAGCAGAAATGAAAAGGAAAAAAGTGACAGGAATGACTTTGAGGAACATCAAAGTTCACTGCTACTTGAATATGAAACACTAAGCAGAGAAAGATTAAAAGATGACATAAAAGCTCAATTCTGGAATGTTTTAAAAATAGTAATGACATGAATAAAAATAGGCAAGTCAAGATGGCAAATTGTTAGGTGATGAGGTAACAAATTTACTTCTAGACATCAAGTTTGAGAGGACGAAGTGGCCACTTGCTATTTAAAGTAAATTATTGTTTAGTTACACTTGCATTAAAAAATGATATCCTTTGTGCTGTCTCCTGAAATGTGATGATGTATTTAAAAATAAAGTGTCATAAATTGAACTTAGTATAATGAAATATATGAATAAAATAAAAACATAAGTCAAATATTGTTACCAATACTAAAATAACCCAAATCCTCCTTTAATAACAGTATTTCCTTGTCATGGTTTACCATTTGTTTACATTATTTCCCTACCAAAAAAAACCTCCATGTTCCCTGATGTTATAAGTAGATCTGTATATGTACTTATTTTACATCACTTCCCCTGTCTCTATACATCTAAATATATAAAGCAGTAAACACATCATAGGTTCCCAATAAATACCAAGTTTTCTGGCCAATATGCTCACTTATTGCAAGCAATATTCAGGAGAATAAAATTGTAACGTTGCCAGATAATTTGGAAAGTCTTCTGAGGCTTCCTTAAATAAGATAACATCATTATTTTATTAAGTAGTATCATTAATTATCTTAAGTAACATCATCAATGCTGAAATAATTTCTCCTAGCAACAAACTATGGAAATATATATAGTAGAAACTAAGTCAGACTTTTGAATTTCATTTATGACAAATTTAGCTGTACACAATTAGAAGTCTATAATAACCACAATGCCATTCAGTGCTTAGTATGTCCATAACTGAAAGTTTGGAATTTTACATTTTTAATGCCTAGCATCATACGTTCCCATATCCTTTACCTTAGTAAGTGACTCCTTGTAACCAAATGAACCACTCTAATTGCCTCCACAAAAAAAAAAAAAAAATGGAGAAATGCCTCAAAAATAATAAAAAGCAGAAGTATATTGTTCTCTAAACCCTCTGATCCCTGACAATTTTTGCTCCCTAGATCCCAACCAATTCAGCATGCTAACCAATACTGACAACTAATCCCAGACTCTCTTTGCTACTTGAAACCAAGGCAACATCCAACTACATTATCTCTCATTGTTTGCTAGAAAATAAATGAGAAAGTATTTCATTCATTTGCTTGAACTTACCAATAAATACATGGCTAGAGGTCATTTAGTTTGGCAGTATTCTGATTCAGCAAAGCAATAAAACCAACCGAAACTATTTGAAATCCCAATGTCCAGGACCCTGGAGCACTATGCCTCTTGCTGTCAGAGCACCTGCCTGTGAATGTGTTTTCTCACTGACCTCTGAAAGCTGGTTGCAAGGCCCTTGAGCATCAAGCAGGAGAAAAATCCTCATCATCTACCAAGGAGGACATAGTTTGAATCTTTGTTTGTCCTCCAAATAGAATGTTCCTGCAGAAACAAAGATCTTTCCATGAACAGTAGTAAGTTCCCTCTTGTGATTGGTTGGAATTTTTACTCTTACTTTTATCATACCGTTAAGTGGAAAAAATAATGCACAGAATCAAATACAGGAGAAAGTAGGGCAAAGATGAACACCTCTTGATCTAATTCATTAGATTCAGGAAATAATTCTTTAGAAGTCAGGTAAAAATTAGGAGGACAGTTATATTAAATAAGACAAATCCAGGAGGCAAGGCATATCAACTGATATTCTTGTTGTCTGTTGAATTTATGAATACAAGTTTATTACTCACAGCCATCTGAGAGAAAATCACTCTTAGGAAACAGGATATTTCTGTAAGCACCATTTCTCCCACTCAATGAACCTTTTCAGACCTTCAACCCTTTGCCAAAATTCCTCTCTCTCATAAACTCTCTTTCCATCTCTTGTACTCACCTAATTTCTGCAGGTTCCTCCATTTCTAGATTACATCACATTTTCTGTCTACGCTCTCGAACCTCCAATAATAATCAATAGTACCTTATTTCTTCCTGTAAAATATTACTCTTAATGCAATTATGGCACTTGCTATATTCTGCTGTGATTATCTGTCTCTTTTAGTAGATTGTATAACTCTTGAGGGCAGGGAAATGATCTCATTTGTCTTTTATTACCAGCACTAAACCTACTCAGTGTCTGGAGCAGATAAGAGCTCAAAAAAGTCTGCTACAATCAAGTGAAAAGAAATATACGCAGCTTTTTTTTTTTTTTTTGATGATAGAAGAAAATATCTCCCAAGACACATCTTTGTTGGTACCCTTCCATGTTAACACACATTAAGTCATCATTAAATAGTTATTCTTAGAAAATGTAAGTATATCAAGAACTCCATCAAATATTGAAAATATTAAACATTTTTTACTTGTTTCTTTTATTTTCTAAACTTCTAATTCTCTTCCTTTAACAAAACTATGTATACCTGTATTGTCAGAACACTTTATATCTTTTACATTTAACATTTTTAATCTGACATTTTGGACTTAATATTTTAATATAACTAAGTAGTTTTTTTTTTCAATAAACCATGCCCTAAGTAAGTGTGACATTTCCAGACACTCTGCTGCTAATAAAATTGTTACAAAGTTGAAAAAGACAGGGACTTGCCCTTGAGAAATTTACAGTTTGTTAAGACAGACTAGTCAAATATATTTAAAACTTAAGAGCCAAAGGCATATAAGTATGAAAGTCCATAAGAATACAAAGAAATGAAATTATTTGAGAATGGCTTATAATTTAATAAATAAAAATAATGATAAAATAATTTATTTAATTCTTCCCTATTTCTACTCTTATTTCTGGATGATCAGTTGCTTAATTCATAAGCATTACTTATTGAGGACCTACCATGTACTAGGCATCATTCTAAATGCTTTATGTGTATAAAATATTTACATATGCACCATTATTATTCCTATTTTACAGATGAGGATACCAGTGTAGAGAGAGGTTCAAGCAACTTCTTGAGGTTAAATCAGTCATAGCGGAATTGGGACGAAAATATAACTGACAGCAGAGTCCCAGGTCCTAACCATTACGAATAGTGTCTCTTTGGTCAAAAAGCAAGTTTTCTACCTCCTGAATGTGCTCCTGTTATCTTATATAATCTTTTGAGAGAAATTTGACCAAATCTTGGAAACTCAAACACTCTCTAGAATACTTCTCTTTGTCATCCTAATGGAGGTGAATTTTTGTCTAGGCAGTTTTTACCCCCACACTTTAAGAATAAAAGATTACTTGTGTTTCTTTCACATTTTACAGACCCAGTAAAATGGCATAGCCTTTGTGAATGTAGATTTGTCAAATGGGTGAAACAAAAAGAATGCTGTGTACAGAAAATTAACAACTGGTTTCTGTATTCCCTTGCTCTTGCTCTGGTATCATAGAGCAAGTGACTTTAGTTTGCTTCAGGCACAACTTTTCTAAGATTGTTCACAAATATCCATCCAATACGTTCCTCAATACCATTTAAATTAAGCATTTATTCTGATTTAAAATAAAAATTTTCGTGTAATTGATGAGTGTATCAATAATAATAACTATTTACAGCATTCATGAAAAATGGCCTAAGTTTGTCCATTTGTTTATTCAATAAACTTTTTGATTAATATTGTTCTATAAATATTTTATGGCCAGGCATGGTGACTCACGCCTGTCATCCCAACACTTGGAGAGGACAAGGCAAGAACATCACTTGAGCAGCAGGGTTTAAGACCAGCCTGGGCCACATAGTGACACTCCATCTCTACCGAAAATCAAAAAAATTAGCCAGGCATGGTGGCGCATACCTGTAGTCCCAGCTACTCAGGAGGCTGAGGCAAGATGATCACTTAAGCTGGGAGACTGAGGCTGCAGTGAGCTATGACCACATCAACACACTCCAGCCTAGGCAACAGAGCAAGACCCTGTCTCCAAAAATAATAAAAAAATTTTTTTAAATAAAAAAATTTTTATGATACTGAATACAGGAAGTAAAAGAATCAAGATATGATTTTATTAAAAACAAGTAAAACTCCTCTGGAGTAAGCTCTTCTGTAAGCAAAGTCAGAAGAACAACAAAGTCAGAAAAATTATTTAAGACATATAAGATCGATAAAGGTTAATTTTCATAAAATACAAAAAAATTTTTATCAATCAATAAGAAAAAGCTATAAAATGCAATCAAAAGGCACAACGATTTGAGCAAGCAATTCATAGAAAGTAAAGTATATATAATAAATATTTGAAAATGGAGGCTGGGTGTGGTGACTCATGCCCAGCACTTTGGGAGGCCAAGACAGGTGATTGCTTGAGCCCAGGAGTTTGAGACCAGACGGGGCCAAATGATGAGACCCTGTCTTTAAAAAGCTTTTTTAAATTTTTAAAAAGTGTAGTGGCATGTGCCTGTTGCCCCAGTTACTCAGGAAGCTGAGGTGGAAGGATTGCTTGAGCCCAAAAGACCAGGGCTGCAGTTATAATCACACCATTGCACTCCAGCCTGGGCAACAGAGTGAGACCCTGTCTCTATTTTTAAAAAGGGGAAGAAAATATAATATCCTCAATATCACTCAAAATGAAAAACTAAAAAATACAAATAAGACCCCTTTACTATCCACAAGATCAGCAAAAATATTACTTTGTTTTCTACTTCCCACAGTTGGCAAGAGAAAAAGAAAGAGGTACTGTCATACCTTACTGTTGAAATTGTAAAATGCTGCAACATCTATAGGAAATTAGCCTCTGACCTTTTGCACTGTGGGAAATAAGTAAATGTTGAATAAACAAAATGTGTAAGTTCATTCTCTCAGTTGCCATCCATCCCTACGTATATAATTTGACAAATAAAGTTACTTTTGTAAATATTAACCAAATTAACTGATAACAATCAGATTAACTTCTGATTTTAGCTTTGTGCTTTAGCCATAGCCAAAATCAGGAGCTCCAATCTTGGTATTATAATTTGAGCAAGTTCCAGTAAAGTTTTGCAGAGACCTCAACCTTATAGAGTATCAAAAAAGAGAAAGACCCTCCCACTCCAGGCAGAGGGGGAAACAGATGTGAAATATTTATCTTTGTTGAAAACTCCTGATAGTGATTTCACATGTGCAGATTCATCCTCAAAGTCACAGATGGGATAGGCACGATAATGATTAAAGCTGCCGATGCAGTCAGAAGAAGACTGGGGCTCAGCTGGAATTTGCTCTTGCTCAGTCAGGAATAAGCATGAACAGTAGAAAATTACAAAGTAAACATACATCTTGGAGAAACATCTCTCTTCCTCTATGTTGAAACATCTCTTAGAGGCAGCAAGCATTACTACTCCTCTCAAAGAACTCTCTGCTTCAAATAGTACATTTCGGATGCCCTGAATGTTGTATGAATGGTACCAATCTTATATTCTTACTCAAACTTTTCCCTATCCTCTCTATCATTGACAACCTACAATCCTACTCAAACTCTTCCTCCTTCACTATTTTATGGCAAAGTGCTCTTCCTTGTTTGACCTCATAAAAATTAGAACTTATATTGTCATCCAGTAATTCTTAGATGGATCCATCATTTGTTTCATGCACTATGTTTTCTTAACTAAATAGTTTTTTAAAAAACTCGAAGTAGAACAGTGAGGATGATCACTTTGTACTACTTTGCTACCATTGTGGTTGTTTTCTACGTTATAACACACAATAGATGTTGCATAAATGGAGCTTCCCTCAATAGAAAAGAGAATGATAAAGGCAGTAGGGTAGAATGAGATTTAGTTGAGGGGTTTAAAATAAAACACGTATCACTAGAGAACATAAGGGCTTGCCCTCTATTCACAATAGGTTAGCTCTTATTTTTACCAGCTTCAAACCTCAAAGTCCTTTCTCATAGACTTCACTGCCAGGTTCATAATTTATTTTACATTGTCCTTCTAACCATTCGCAGGAATTTCAACATCTCTGCTTACCACTCCCCAAACATTTGACCTCATAGTGAAAACTTTTACCTACTTGACCTGAGGTACTTTCATTCATTCTTCACTTTATTACTATTACATTTTATCATATCGACTTGTTTCATTAATCCAAAGATAACTTGGTAGTAATTACACAAAAATTGCTAAAAATATTGAATCTACCACTAGCTAGATTTGATAATATCTCTGTTTAGGAACTTACTAGCTATGTAACATTAAACAAGTTAGATAATTGTTGAGAGACAATTCTTCATGGCATTTCTGCACATCTTACATTAGATTTTGTTCCGCGTGTATTTTGAAGAGTGTTAGCATAGCAAACAGAGAGTATCTCCCTCTGAGATGAAGTGCAGATTTGTTTCCTGACAAAGATAATCAAGATACTGTATCCTTCTGAGGCAAATATTAGACAGGTTAACTAGCAGTTCCTTATAGAATGAGGGGTTTCCTAAGCTTAGAGTCCTTCAGCAGTGATATAAACACACTATCTGAAGCATTCACCAAGGCCACTCTATATCACCCCAAAAGAACTTGAGAGGCAAGGGAGCATAAAACTCATACCACCTGCTATATCATGAGTAAGAAAGTCATTTGTCTCTGACCAGGGAGTTTCATATCTTCTGCTAACATCTATCAAACTGTGGCAGACTAACTTGTTAGCTTGAAATCTCAGACTCCTCTGTGCCTCAGTTTTCCTACCTGTAAAATGAAGAAAGGACGTCTACTTCACAGAGCTAGTACATTAATGAAATTGAATAATAAAATAATGCATATATAATGCTTAAAACCAGTTATAGCCTCATAGCTGGACCCTCAAACACTCTTTAAGGAGGCAGAACTTCGTGGCTGCTGACCACCTCCTTGCAAAGTCAAATGTTCTACTCCCCAGTTTAGTCCTTGCTGATGTCTCTGTACCACTAACATCAGAGATCCTTTTCTCCTTCATCAAAGTACCTATTTCATAGACTGTGACTCACTACTAAACTGGTTTTCTTCCTACGTTTTTGTCCCTTTCCAATTTCTTCCTCCTACTCACACTCACACACAAAGAAAATGAACTAACAAAAGGAGAATATTTAGCATATGTCCTAAGGCCATTCCAAATTTCCACATGATACTAGTTAACAATCCAACAACAGAAACTTTTTTTCCTAAAATGGGGGAAGGGAAAGGCAATAATCAGAATGAGGAGGTGGAGAAAAGTACTGAAATATTCATCAAAGGGAGAAAAGAGTCATAAGAAAAATGTATAAGATGTCTGGAGTCACATAATTATATAGATGATGATATTTATTATTTTCTTTTTTTAATTTTTAATTATATATATATATATAATTGCATTTTAGGTTCTGGGGTACATGTGCAGAACATGCAGAATTGTTGCATAGGTACATAAATGGCAATGTGGTTTGCTGCCTCCATCCCCCTGTCACCTCTATATGGCATTTCCCCCATATTATCCCTCCCCAACTCCCTATCCCTCTCTGTCCCTCCCCTAGTCTCCCCCCACAGACCTCAGTGTGTGATGCTCCCCTCCGTGTGCCCATGTGTTCTCATTGTTCAGCACTCACCTATGAGTGATAACATGTGGTGTTTGATTTTCTGTTATTGTGTCAGTTTGCTAAGAATGATGGTTTCCAGGTTCATCCATATCCCTATATTATTATATTCTAATGCAGAATCTTCATTTTAAAAACTGCAATAAATTCAATTGGAAAGAAAATAAGGAAAACAAGTTGCATGGCCAAGTGACCATTGAAACACAGTGTGGAATGTTGGAAAGAAGACAGTTTTACCATCAACAGATCCAAACAAATCCCAGCTCCAGTCTTCAGTGGTTGTAAGAACTTGAGTGAGATACTTAACCTCACCAAGCCTCAGTTTACTCACCTCCCAAATGGGGTAAGACAATATTCCTCAAAGCTCAATAAATGGTAGCTATGATGTGTATGATTACTGCAGGATTATGTAAACCAAAATTAAATTCTAAGCCCCCAAACAACTGAATTAATCTCTAAGCCAGGGACATTCTACAACCAATACCACAGCAATGAAAAAGATCATTCAAGGCTACTATGAACACATTTACATGCACAAACTAGAAAACCTAGAAGAGAGGAACAAATTCCTGGAAATATACAACCCTCCTAGATTAAACTAGGAAGAAATAGAAACTCTTAACAGATCAATAGCAAGCAGCAGGATTGAAAAGACAATTGTAATGGTTAATACTGAATGTCTACTTGATTGGATTGAAAGATGTAAATATTGTTCCCACGTGTATCTGTGAGGGCGTTGCCAAAGAGATTAACATTTGAGTCAGTGGACTGGGAGAGGCAGACCCACCCTCAATCTGGGTGGGCACTATCTAATCAGCTGCCAGCACAGCTAGAATAAAGCAGGCAGAAAAGGTGGAAGGAGCTGACTTGCAGAGTCTTCCGGCCTTCATCTTTCTCCCATGCTAGATGGTTCCTGCCCTCAAATATCGGACTCCAAGATCTTCAGCTTTCTGACTCTTGAACTTACACCAGTGATTTTCCAGGGTCTTTCAGGCCTTTTGCGACAGACTAAAGGCTGCACTGTCAACTTCCCTACTTTGGAGATTCGGGGACTTACTGACTTTCTTTCTCCTCAGCTTGCAGACAGCTTATTGTGGGACTTCACCTTGTTATTGTGTGAGTCAATACTGCTTAATAAATTCCCCTTCATATATATATCTATTCTATTTGTTCTATTAGTTCTGTCCCTCTAGAGAACCCTAACTAATACAGTAATTTTAAAATTGCCAACAACAACAACAAAAAAGTCCAGGACCAGATAGATTCACTGTTGAATTCTACCAGACGTTCAAAGAAGAATTGGGACCAATCCTATGACACTATTCCACTATTAAGATAGGGAAAGAAAGAATCACCCCTATATCATTCTATGAAGCCAGTATCACCCCAATAGGAAAAACCAGAAAAGACCACAACAGAAAAAAAAGGAAACTACAGACTAATATCCCAGGCGAACAAAGATGTAAAAATCCTCAGCAAAATACTAGCTAATCCAACCCAGCATATCAAAAAGATAATCCACCATGATCAAGCGGTTTCATACCAGGGATACGGGGATGATTTAACATATGCAAGCATGTCAATAAATGTGATATACCACATAAACAGAATTAAAAACAAAACCACATGATCATCTCAACAGATACAGAAAAATCATTTGACAAAATCCAGCATCCATTTATGATTAAACTCTCAGCAAAATTGGAATAGAAGGACGTACCTTAAGATAATAAAAGCCATCTATGACAAACTTACAGCCAACATTATACTGAACGGGGAAAAGTTAAAAGCATTCCCCCTGAAAACTGGAGCAAGACAAGGATCCCACTTTCCACACTTCGATTCAACATAGTAAGGGAAGTCTTAGCCAGAGGAATTAGAAAAGAGAAAGAAAAAAAGGACATCCAGATCAGTAAAGAGGAAGTCAAACTGTCACTGTTCACTGATTATATGATTGTATACCTAGAAAACCCTAAAGATTCCTCCAAAAAACTCCTAGAACTGACAAATGAATTCAGTAAAGTTTCAGGATACAAAATTAATGTACACAGATCAGCAGCTCTGCTATACACCAACAGTGACCAAGCTGAGAATCAAATCAGAAACTTAACCTCTTTTACCATAGCTGCAAAAAATAAAAATAAAATAATTAGGAATATACTTAACCAAAGAGGTAAAAGATCTCTACAAGGAAAGCTACAAAACATTGCTGAAAGAAATCATCAGTAACACAAACCAATGGAAACACATCCCATGCATATTTGAATGAGTAGAATGAAACTGTATCCTCATTTCCTACTGTATACAAAAATAACTCAAGATGGATGAAAGACTTACATCTAAAACCTGAAACCATAAAAATTCCAAAAGATTCATCAGAAAAACCTTTCTAGACATCAGCTTAGGCAAAGACTTCATGACCAGGAACCCAAAAGCAAATTGCAACAACTACAAAAAAAAGATAAACAGATGGAACTTAATTAAACAAAAAAGCTTCTGCATAGCAAAAGAATTAATCAGCAGAGTAAACAGACAACCCACAGAGTGGGAGAACATCTTTGCAAACTGTGCACCCGACAAAGGACTCATATCCAGACCCTATAAGGAACTCAAACAAATCAGCAAGAAAGAAAAAGAAACAGTCCATCAAAAAGTGGGCTAAGGACAGAGAATATTCAGAAGATATACAAACATATGAAAAAATGTTCAACATCACTATCATTAATAACCAGGGAAATGCCAGTCAAAATCACAATACAATACCACCTTACGCCTGAAAGAGTGGCCCTAATCATAAAATAATAGACTTTGGCCTGGATAAGGTGAAAAGGGAACACTTTTGCATTGCTAATGGGAGTGTAAACTAGTACAACCAATATGGAAAACAGTGTGGAGGTTCCTTAAAGAACTAAAAGGAGATCCACTATCTGATCCAGCAATCCCACTACTGGCTACCTATCCAGAGGAAAAGAAGTCATTATACAAAAAAGCCACTTGCACACACATGTTTATAGCAGCATAATTTGCAATTGCAAAAATATGAACCAGCCCAAACGCCCATCAATCAAGTGGATAAAGAAAATGTGATATACATATATACCATAGAATACTACTTACCCATAAAAAAGGTATGAAATAATGGCATTTGCAGCAACCTGGATGGAATTGGAGACCATTATTCTACGTGAAGTAACTCGGGAATGGAAAACCTAACATCATATGTTCTCACTCATAAGTGGAAGCTAAGCTAGGAGGATACAAAGGCATAAGAATGATACAACGGACTTTGGGGCCTCAGGAGAAAGAATAGGAGGAGGGTGAAGGATAAAAGACTACACATTGGGTACAGTGTACACTGCTCAGTTGATGGATACACCAAAATCTCAGAAATCACCACTAAAGAATATACCCGTGTAACAAAACACCACTTGTCCCCACAAAACCTATTAAAAAAAATTTAAATAAAAAATAAAAAATAAAAGTAAACCTGAAACGCTAGTTCAGGCCATGCTGGGAATGGGTGGTTGGGCATGCCTCCTTATGTCTTCCTCCATTTGGAATTCAGGCACAGTTGACTGGCATTAACATTAAAACAGAACTTAAGACTGGCAAAACAGACTCTGTAGCAATAAGATACTAACATGACAGACAGTGGGCTCTGAAAGAAATCTGATTATTTTACCCAAAAATGTATATCTTTGATATATTTTGAAATGGCCCTGCAAAGCTGTCACTTATGGGGAAAATCCACATTCTGTAGAGAATGCCCTTCCCTTTCCAGATCTTTTTCTTGGTCCAGGAGAGATTGAGAGTCTGGTACCTCTTTAAGTCTGATAGAAACATTTACGATCTATTCTCTCTGGAGCCTGCTACCTGGAGGCTTCATCTGCATTTGGCCATTATGGCCAAAACCGCAATTACTTTTGGAACAACCTAATAGATGTTATCACCAGCTTCATAAAAACTCCAGGCGCTGAGCAATCCTTAGTGTCAGGCTAATATATCTCAGCACCAGTATTAGATAACTGTTTGCTTGATGTGATAAACTTACCTGTAACAAAAAATCAAAGAGTGCCATCTTGGACCATTCATGATGATGTATTTCAGTACAACCCGACTCAGGTTTGGGTACTCGACCATTCTGCCAGCACTTCTGCTTTAGCAACTGCTGATAAGTTCCCCAGGTGAGCTTAACAGAAGAATGGGTGTCATTACTTGCTGGAGATAAAGATGCATCCCAGAGAATGACAGGGCATGGGCGGCCATCTGTGGAATCAGAAAAACAAACACACTTTGAGCACACTATTGATGCAGTGTGTCAGCTATCAAATGTGAGAGTATGATTCGACAATATTTTATGGTCCCTTTGTCTTCCGATGTTTTAATACTTTCATACCTCAGTGCTTCCTATTCTAAGTCTTATAAAGCAGAAAGTTATTGTTAGACGATGAAAAAATATTTTTAACAAGATACTTGATAGATGTGGCAGGAATAGGATACTAAGCATCAATAACAACGTCCTATGGTTAATGTGGTTTTATTCCACATCTAAAAGCAGCCACCACAAAACGGGAAAGAATCCAGACATTTATAATTGTCTATTCAATGTCTGAGTGGAGCTGCTATTTATTTGTAATAACAACTGTCTGATTTTCTGAGGCCACATTATGATGTCAGGAAGAAAAAGAATTTTTAGAAGTCGCAAATTTAAAAGTGAAATTGTATGGTTCACACCAATCACTGTAATTTCCAAAGAAGAAAAAAAAAGAGGTAAGAGGTTTTTTCTTTTCTGATAGAAACTGTGCAAGCACAACAGTGCTCTTGGTAAGGGATCATTCATTCACACATAACCTCAACAAAGTGCATTTAAGCAAATGTCAGTTCTTCAACTGCATGTGCATAGGTGACTTTTTTTAAATCTGTCACTCAATTTGTTTTGTCTCACTCTTGGAGGTTTAGAAATGCAATTTCTTTCATTTCTAAACTGTATAAAGAATATGGGCCCCAGTGAAATAATCGTAAACAAGGAAGACCATGATTCGGACACATTAAACAACACTTCAACCTTAAAACCAGCAACATCACTTCCAAGCTTCCATTTCTGCCCAATAAAGTCACAAAGAGACGATATTGAGCAGCTTTGCTTATAACTCAAAAATCGGAATGATGCACTTGATAAAAACAACTAAATTACAAAGATCCGATAAAGCCCACTTAACTCATCCTTAACAGGCCTGAACAACAGAGACCTCTGAAATTACAACTGGAATGTTCAGACATGTTACAGGAATTCTTAAAATCTCTCTTAAATAGCCTCAGATGTTCTCAATCTACAACGTTACTGTCTACTAGAAACTTTATTTTGCCACCTTACTGTCTTGCCATCTTGTAGAATTCTCATCTCCAGTCTTTTAACACAGGAAACAGTCCTCTTCTCTAACCACTCATGAGTTTGGTGTTACACTAACCTTCGTGGTTTTAATAACATTCACTTAAATCATTCTAATCACTTGCATTCCAGTTCTGTTCAAAGAAAAATCTTTCCCACTTTAGCCTTGCAATGTAGGCCAGGGTATGTGGAAAGTCTTTTGGATTATGGAAAATATGCCACAATCATTGCTGCAAAATTAAGAGAAGAATAGAGAAAGAAATGTGAGCCATACAAAAGAACTCCATTTGTAGCCTTCTCTCTCTCCTTCCAATTTCTTTTTACCTTAGTAAATGATTTGGGGTTTCTGGGACCTAATTATCTTCTTAGACATAAGTAATTTTAAATGTGTATATTCCAAATACTATGCCAATTTAATTTAAAAGAATGAATTCCAGGTAAAAGTAGTCCACCCTACGGTGGAAGACAGCACTGGGCCAATATAACCAAACAGGAATAGAAAACACACGCACAGTCTCCAAAGATGTGTACTTCAGGCGTCTAAAAATAAACACCAAGAAGCTCTACCAGTGTCTTTGAACCAAAGTTATACACATACAAAAAGCACTTTGCATGCTCAGGGCTAGAAAGCATTCAAAGGGAGTTGAAATCTAACAGTGAACTTCAGTACAAATTAATATACAAGTCAGATGGACAGCAGTTTCCTCAGCAATTCATACAAT